CTAATTACTTTCACCATGTCATGTGGTAAGATATTCATTCCACAAGAATTTCATTACACCACCTGGTTCACAAGTTTCATAGCTTTCATAATTAATGGCTCTATAAAATTTAAAAAAAAATTAATAGAGCCGAGATCAGCTCAGTTAAGTTTCTGAAACTTTAGTATGGAAGAATCAATATAAAAAAGATAATAACATAACCGTTCATCTTATAGTCACCATTAACAAGCAAAAAAAACGGTACATTTGAATGCAAAATGAAAAGTGTCTCAACATTTTTTTAAACTACAATCCAGAAAAACCCGAAGTTGCTCCAAATACAATTCAATTAGTACATATGTAGTTAGACTTATATAAGCCTATAAGGGCATAGAGCCATAGACTAAAAAAAATGAAACAAACAATGCCTTAAAAATATGTATGTGATCAATACGGTTAGATCAGAATATGTATGTTCTACGTGTGTAAATGATTCCATATGTATAATATATATTCCTTGACCATTCTTGGAATATAACTTTAGTAAGAAACAAGAACCAAAACATTAATTAAAACCCATAATCAAGCCGTTAACAAAGATAGTGATCCCCCTATGTAGAAACGACTTTGGATCAGCTATGTTGATATGTTCTACGGTTCCCAATTGGAGAATCCTATCTTTAACATGTAATGCTACATTTCCACTTCTTGCTATTTGAAAAACTAAGACAGGATGCTCTGCGATAGTAGAAACATTTGAAAAGCGGTTAGTAATATTGTGAATGTATATTCATTGAATGCTTCCTTAATAATATGAGTAATTTACTTCAGTGACACTAATTATGATCCGGTGTAATGTACTCCGTACAAATTTCTGGAGATGCATATTTATGTGTTACTGGAAAATCTTATGCCTAATATCAATATATCATATATTGGATCATGGAATAATCTAAAAATAAATGGCATGTTTGCAGGATCAAAACAGACTTACATACCTGCATTACCTCCCCTAACAAGGTGTAGCAAAGACTCGAAATTTTCCAGGCTGTGGAAGAGAGCTGCCTGTAGGGTGGGAGCAGACGGTGACTGCGAAATGTCCATCAACGAAGGAAACCACCCCCGCCCTTCAACAAGCCGCGGAACGCAGCGCCTTTACATAAGGCTGAACACATTGCATTACATCCTTTCCCACCTAAATTCTCTAGAAAAATCCCTTTCCTTGAATCCGAAACTCTTACCTTCCCCGAAAAGGACCAGTACCTCTTCTACTTACTTTGACAAGGCGCGCTCAACCGTCCAAATAGCTTGCCAACACGTGTCGGAAGTTGCAGCCTACCGCCTGATCTTCTTCGATTCCAACTCGGTGTTCTACGGAAGCTTATACCACAGAGGTGTCGAGAATTCTCGAATACGGCCGGCGGTGAGAACATTGAAGCAAAACCTAGCGCTATTGTGCGCGATCGTAGTAGATACGGCTCAACCAACGGCGATAAGGGAAGTGATGAAGGCTTCATTCGAGGCCTATCTAATGGTTCTCCTGGCCGGAGGGAGTTCGAGAGTGTTCAACAGATCGGACCATGAGATGATCGAGGACGACTTTGAACACCTGAAACGGCTCTTCTATACGTGCGGCGAAGGACTGATGGCGGAAGACGGCGTGGATAAGGAGGCGCAGGCGGTGGATGGGGTGGTGGCGTTAATGGGCCAATCCACTCAACAATTAGTGGAAAATTTCAGCCTTTTGGCCTGTGAAGCCAGTGGGATAGGCCTAATGGGCCCGGGCCAGAGGTTGCCCATGCCTCCAACAACAGGAAGATGGCACAGATCAGATCCAAACACCATATTAAGAGTACTTTGCTATAGGAATGACAAATTTGCAAATCTATTTCTTAAGAAGGCTTTCCAACTTCCTAAGAGGAGGGGCTAAAATACATTTATTGAGAAAATGTTTCTTTTTTGAGGGAATCTGCAGATTAGTTTGTCTACTTAATTAGGTATGACAAAATCATATTTTTAAACACTCATTTAATTGAAATTAAAACATATTTTTGTTCAAAAAATCATATTGTATGTAAAATTTCGGGTGTTCAATAGTTTTCTTAATGTAATGTAAATTATGTAATGAAGCATTGGTTAATGGAGTTTGGGAGAGAAGTACATTGATCTTCACATCTTTCCTATGTGTTCATAGACATTTTCTTAGACTCCTTGTGTTTAATTATATACCCAAATTTTATGTAACTATGTACCATGTCATATATACTAAATTTGTTCCTATGGATGATGTGCATTGGAAACATGAAATTTTTTACAAACAAAAAATTGACAACCGAAATATTATTAATTTTGCCTCATACAAAAGAACATACTACATTTCAAGGTATATCAAAGAGTGCAAAAGGTTGTATTTGTATTGCAATGTTATGAATTATTTGTGATAAGATTGTAAATAGGAATTATACTAGTTATTTTGATGATATTCCTGATAGTGTTATAAGTCAATTGGCAAACGATTTATTTAAGAGTTTTTACATAATTATTACCAATAGTATTTGGGATTACAAAAAAGTGACTATTAATAAGGAACACATTCGGCATCCGGGAGTAAAAGTAGGGCAAATAGTCATATTAGTGAGGTTTAAAGTAGTTATATTTATGTAATTTTTTCTGTATTTAATTAATGAAATAGTGTTTGTTTGCTTCAAAACAAAATCCATAGAATTGGTTGAGGGTGTTCGCCTTATACTTAAATAAATGAGTTACACAATGTGAATCCAAATTCAGTAAATTTTATAAGCCGAAAATTTTATTTGACCAAGAGAAAATAGTGTCTTTGTCTCTCATTTATCATTTAAAATATCGTTTTATAGAAGATCATTTAGAATACCCTTAACAAATTATACATGATTTAATGCTCATCTTTTGAATAGTTAGCTTTATCAATTGAAATTTATAATCGACACATTAACTTATATTGTTACAAAAGAACATTTATGAAAGTGCATGACCACGTAAATGAAAAGCTACAAATGAAAGGATTACTTTGACCTTGTTTTTATATCATTTACTTTATTATATTAAAAATAGATTCGTAAACTTGTTTACTGTGTAAGGTTTATGTGATGATAAAATATTATCGTTAAGAATCCATGACCAAATCCTTGAAAATATATATGAAGTTTTTCCTTTAATATTAATAAACTAAAGTTAATTTCCAAAAAAGTGACCACATTTATATTTGGACAAAAATGTGACTAATGCACGGTGACATCTCCGCAGTGACATTTTCGCGGCTAATCTTGACAGTGACATCTCCAACATCAGCGACCACAGTGACACCTCTGCAGTGACAATTCCGTCGCCATCACATGTGTCACTGCCACCACTCCTGTTGCTGCCGCCGGTCACAGTGACACATCTACAGTGACAACTCCGTAGTGATGACATCTTTGCCCAACCTCTAGCCACAATGACATATCCGACGTCCGGCCGCCGCCAGGCAACGCCGCCGGTCACAATGACAACTCCGCGGTGACATCTCTATAGTGACAACTCCGCAGTGACACACAAATTACTTCGACCACCGCCTTCTGACTGTTACCACGCCACCGCCACGCCACTGCCGCATTTAACCACCACGTCACCGCCGCCCACCGCCGCCAACCAGCCTCCCTCTGCAGCTCCCCAGCCCTCCTTCCCACCCCAGACCCCTCCTTAGACCCCAGCCCACCCAGCCCCCCTGCACCGCCTCCCATCCCCCCACACCATCGTTGTCAGCACCCTTCAGCCTCCTCTTCAACTCTTACACCACCAAAAATCTTAGCGGCCGCAGACCTAAAACCTGTAATCCTACCCGCAGTGGTCGCATATCTAAGAAAAACTTACCACCTCCGCTGGAAAAACCTAGCCACGAAGAAAACGACTGGAATTCGGAGAAGAGGAAGATATAGGGCGAACAAGATGATTGGAAACGCCGTTGTCAATCTCGATGTCCCTGTTGTGGCTCGCCCGTCGGACGTCGTCGCCCGAATGGTTGCAGAAAGTTTCAGCTCCCAGATGGCTGCGAAGAGGAACAATTCCAGATGGCCGCGAATAGGAAAGGACGGAAGGCTTATGTGAAGGATGTGGATCGTTGCGCTTACCGCTACACTAAAAGCAATCGCTGGTAGTGTACCACGCTCCTCCCCCTTTATAGCACATGCGAAGCGCCACGCGGTTCGATTGCACCGGCAGGCAGGCTGTTGCTGGCACCGCATACCCGCGGCCCAACAATCTCCCCCCCCCAGCACCTGCCAGCCTACAACTGCGCAACATGCTGTTGCCGGGGGTCGAACCCGTGACCTTGGCTCTGATACCACTTGTGGATCGTTGCGCTTACCGCTACACTAAAAGCAATCGCTGATAGTGTACCACGCTCATCCCCCTTTATAGCACATGCGAAGCGCCACGCGGTTTGATTGCACCGGCAGGCTGGCTGTTGCTGGCACCGCATACCCGCGGCCCAACAAAGGAGAGTGCAGGGATAAACGGAACAGGGAAGTTAGATTGGTCACTTTTTGTCCAAGTATAAATGGTCATATTTTTGTGCATTCAAACTGTATAAGTAATATTCATGTCATTCTTTCAATATATATTGGTATACGATCGGTGACAACCTAAAGGTTAATTGTACACACTTACCTAAAGGTTATTGGTTTAAAAGTCCACGGACTTTATTAAGGTTTATAGAATTGTGTGAGTGAACTTTCTTGATTTATATAATCATATGGACTTCATATGAATGGTATTTAATTAATTATCCAATTTAATGGAAAATAAAAGTTTAAACTAGAATCATGGTAACTAACATTATAAGTCTAAATATCACAATAGATATGGTCAAAAAAACATCATAATAGATAAAGTAATATGCTTACAACAAAATGATAACAAACAACATAAGAACTCAATCAAAGCAAATGTAATTTTACAAGATAGCATTGAGGTTTATTCTTCATCTACACCCGCACACTTCATATGATCTCAATAAAATCAATTCATTTGATCACATTTAGACATCAAACAGGGTGTACAATACATTATGTTACACTAACGGGTGACAAGGATTTATGAACGAAGTAGATAAAAATATCATATATTATCAAAAGTTGATGGTTGCCAATTGTTGAACATTGATTGGGTAGCTATCAGATGGCGGTCCGGAGTAGGCTCTTTGAGCAAGGACAGCATTCACATTCTGTGTTGTATGAAAAGCATCCCAAAAGATGTACTCGGTCCTATTGCCACATGGAGGATAGTATTGTATACAAGTCATTTGTACCATAGTTTGTTGTCCCAAGTTCATTCCTACTCCACAACATGGCTTATCCCATATCAAAAACCCTACAATAAATATATAATATAGAGTTATGAAAAATTAAAAATTACCATACATGCAGTTTTTTATTGTTCTTACATTGGTCTCATAACCTCGCTCAATTGCAAATTTAGTCATGTAAGTGAATGAATTTGTCCATATTAAAGACATTTCCACCAGAAAGTAAATTTCCTGGCAACAAATAGACTAGGAAGTTTGTCGCCATCGCCAATTTTTTGTTGGAAATAATACATTCTGATGGAAAAGTATTTAATACATATAAAATACATGACTAAAACGGCAAGTGTGTAAAAGTAGGGGCTAAAAATAGAAACACACATGCCTTTAGCCATTTGGGGACTATACTTAAAAATAGAAACACACGTGCTTGCTTTATAAAGAGTTTTTTTTTATACTCCCTCCGTTCTCTAATAACCGTCCATTTAGGGTTTTCACGATTTTTAAGAAGAAAATAGTAGGGGTAATATAGATGGTGTAGGGTAAATGAAAAAGTAATAAATAGGGCATATTAAGAAGATAAAACTAATGAAAAGGTAGGAAAGAAAAAGGAGTTTGTAAAAAGTAAAAAATATAATGGTAATAAAAGTGATGGTGTAAAGGTATTTTGATAGGAAACACTTACTAAGAGGGAAAAGAGAGACAAGTAATAAAAAAACATCACAAAATGGAATGTGAGACAATTATTAGAGAACGAAGGGAGTAATCACTGTCACTACCATATTTCGCGCGGTTATTCAACATATCGCCCAAAACAGCATAGGTGTTTCCATAGACAAACATGGCACCGGGATGTCCACCATTGTGAAGAGTGTCCACTAGACTTCTCAGACCATCATTGAAGCTCCCAAGGATCTGATTAACCGAGTCCACACATCTCCCTGATTGGGCCTGGCCTGTCACTAGCTGGTTTGGAGTGCATCCAATTGGCCCAATGCCTGCCATATAGAACTTTCTCAGCCCAGCACTGTACAATGCCTAGACATGCAAACAAACATATTTTAAGATTTTAATTTTGTTTTAAAGATGACAACTTACTTTTCTTACTTTAGATTCAACTCAATTTTAGCAATGACCAATGGGACGGAGATAGTATTAAGATTGGAGCTAAAACCCATAAAATTTTAAAGAACAAGCTCTTAAGCAATACTTAATATTCAGCACTACTATCATTCTGAACAAGTTAAATTACGAGAAAGGGGTAAATACTTTCAAATTACAAGCGCTCTTGAATCAGACTCCAGGATTGAAAGACCTCACAAATACACCACTCAACTTATAAAAATAAAGCATTGAGCCCTTTATACCTCTTGGTGCCGGTAAGACAATAATTTTGTCGTGAAAAGTTACTTGCACCACTAGGTAAAAATGTTTGATTGCTTTATTTTAATGATATGAGCTAGAGATGTATTTGTAAGGTCTTTCAACTCAGATGTCTGATTGCAAGATAGTTTGGAGCTTGACTTATTTGCCCCTCCTCTCTTATAGTAATATACGCACCACAAGTTGTCTAGCGTAGTGATTTAGCAGAAGGTTGGCGAATTGGGTGGGGCTGTAGTTGGAGCTAGTAGTATAAACGTAAGGCATGAGATAGTTGTTTATGTAGTCATTGCTTCCAATAGATAACACCACTATTGCTTTTGATAGGTAGCTACTCAAGTTGGCAGGAGGCATCATAGTCCTCAACTGGCTCAATGTGCTCTCAAAATTCACTACTTGTTGGCTCAATGTGTACCTTTCCATCTGCATCATTCGTAATGACTAAGTTACTAAAGACTAAGTTACTAGCCTTGTATTTAATACGGAGCAATTGTATTTTCAAGAAAAATGCAGAGTTACTGAAACTTATGTATGTGGAAGCTATAACAAAATTCTACCGAACTATGAATGAATACTAAATTTGAATATGATAAAATATTACTGCATAAACTCATACATTCAAAGAAAGTTATTGACTGGATGAATATTGTCTAAAAAACTTAAACTTGAACTTAATAATTAAATATACATTCTACCAATAATAATGATAACAATAATAATAAGTTGCACTTTGAAATCCCTTAGTACCCAAATTGAGAAGGCATGCATCCCCAGTATTTTGGAACTAACACGAAGACTAATAATATAGATGGGAGAGGACAATATTTACAAAAAATTGAGCAATTTGGGGATCAAATTTGTAAAAATCAAAATACGGGGTGATATTTTAATGTGGATATTATATGAGGTTAAAAAAGAGCATTGTTGTCTAATACTCCGTAATATTTAGAAAGAATAATTAAGTGCCAAGCCAAATGTGGGATTAAGAATACTAGGAGAGTGAGGGGAGTATTATCGATTACTAAATGTCGGGCAGTTTCGTCGAGGATGCCAGCGCCAGCGGAGGCATAGTTGACTCCACCGAGAATTTTATTCCCGTTTGAGTTAGGGTCTGCAAAGGGAGGAGGAGCAGGCAAGCCCAACCACTCTCCTGGAATTACACATTTAACTTTCAACAGTTAATTAGAATCAAAGAAAATGTAGCACAACACATATAAGAACATTGCACTTGAATAATTTAAATTTCAACAAATGATGAAACAATGACTTAGACCAATCATATGCTTGATAGGTAGGGTACCCTCATTTTTTATGAGTACCATAACATTCACTATTACACAATTGTGAATTCATTTTTAAGCTAAACTCCTATCTAGCCTTCGAGGAAGGTGATAATGGATTGATCCACTCTCATTCATTCATCGAATCTCCGGCCATCCGCCTTCGATTCATTTGTCACCCCATGAAATACCCTCATTCATACAGTCCATCCATTGTCCATGATTTATAATATGGATAGACAGGGTGTACAAATTAAAGGGTGAAATTATCAAGTAACATCCATCAAAACCATTCTATAATATGCCTAAAACGTGTTGTTTGAAAGCAAAACAAAGCACATTATACAATATTACATTGCTCATAAATAATAAAACTAGTACGTGGTAATTAATATATAGTACATTAAATAAATCATCTTCAAACAATAAATAATTAATCACATAAAACGTGTTCAAAATTTATTACTTGAAATTTAATAAGAGAAAATAAACAATTATGTGGTTAAGAAAAGAGAAATAAAATGAATCATAAATTTTTACATAAAAAGGAAATGACAAAGTGTTAATGAACAATTAATTATAAAAAGGTGGTAAAGTTTAGTGTGACAAAGAGAGTATATAGCCAAAAATAGATATATAATAAGTTCAATGATGATCGACACATGATGTAGTTATTTTACTTTCTATACATGCTTGGATGGCGTGTTAGATTTAAAACAATCATGATTTTCATTTTTGTTTTCATTATAATCTATGTATTAAAATTTCACAATTAAAACTCATTCGAAGTTTGCTTTTTTGGATTGATTACGTATGATGTGGTCTCAATGTCGTCTCACTCTATATATAGTATGATATCGTATGATGTTATCTCATTTCAAATGTGACAGTACTTAATAATTTTATGAAGTCTTGTACAAACACTACAGGGAAAAAAATTGTCATTGATCTTGTACATCGGCTCCTCTCAATACTATTACAAATCATATATGTCTATCGCACTGGAACACCAACCACATAAATGGTTTGTTGTGGGTTTGAAGACATGTGTCGGGCCTTGATCTTTGTCATGTGTTGGGCCTCGCTAAGGCAGACCACTTTTGTAATCCAAATTGTAAAGTCGTATAAATTCCACATTTTGAAATGTGTTGAATTTGTAAATTTCTAAATATGATTTTAAAAATTTCAGATTTTGAAATTTGTTAGGGATTTATCCCCGATAAATTAAAAAAATTAAACATTTGTTATGGATAAGTTGTCGTGATAAGCTTTCCAGAATTCAGTTTATGGAGTATTTTGTTAGTGATAATAATTCCTACAAGTTTTGCTTGTGGTCAGGCGGCTTGTTAGTAGGGACCATTCCCTAACAAGTCCGTGACAAAATTTGTCACAAATTTTTATCCCTAACAAGACTTTTGTTAGGGCGCTGGCATCAGGGACATGATCCCTAATAAAACCGTTTGTTAGGGATTATTTGTCATCCTAGACAAATTCCGTGACAAAATACATGTTTTTTGTAATGAGATGTCATACCTTTAAAAAAAATACACTGATAAGTTTCCAAATGTTTTTAAATGAACTAAAGTTTTCTGGTATGATCTGATCTGGTACTCTGATTTGGTTGTTTAAATCTAGTGTGATTTGGTAGATGTATGTTCTCTGTGTATTTTACACCTATCAAACTTTGGTCTGATCCGATCTGATCTTATATGGTCTTGTTTAGGACTGAAAACCTATCCAATTAAAAACATCATCAGTGATAGTATGACAGACTATCCAATTAAAAACCTATCCAAACTTTGGCCTGACCGAGCCCCAACCCACCTCGAGTTGAAAAAAGCTTGTATTTTATATGTATAAATATTTTATGCGTAAAAAATATTCTAAAACTTTTTTTTGTATTGTTCCACCTTAACTTTTGTTCTTTGTTGTTGCCTATGCCCTGATCACGAACGTTGCTCACCCTAACCAAATACCAACTCTCAAAACCATCTCAGTCACTACATCATACTTCTTATAATATAGTCATTACGCATTGATAAATCACATTTTTTTGTGCACAACATTTGTTTCAGTAGTATATTTGTGATTATTTTTAATCTAAGTTAATTACTTTTGAAGTCTCTAATGTTGAAAAATGAATTAAAATTTTAAATAAAGTACCAAGAAGATCGGCAAAGGTTTTCCCGTTGGTTGATCTACCGGTAGCCCCTCCAGGGTAGTCCACGCCATAGGGATAGTAATTCGACTTCGCTCTTGAGTTGAGGAAGTTGCTATTCCCATCATCCACCGTTGAATCTCCAAACACAAATATAGCAGACGGCCGTGGCGGTACCCCTTCTGCGCCGTTAGACTCATCGAAGTGTACCAACACCATAAGCACCACCATCATTAACCGAAACCTTTGATGATACAAAAAACACATCATTTTACTTGATTATTTTAGTACGCAATAGGTCTTTCTTAACTAATTTCAAACTCTATCTTTATGATGGAAACACTTATTTGGTTTGCTATATATATGCATGTGAATTCATCAAGGCCATAAATGGGGGCTCTACTTTTAGCTTTTTCACTCAAATCGCGCGATTCATTAATTAAATACTTAATTAGAAACGTAACTAATGTTAACTCCCTTAATGTTGTTCTTGCCAGTTTTCTTATGCTGGAAGCTAAAGTCATGTGCTCAAATATGATGAGACATGTGAAGTAGTGGCCTTTATAGCGTAAATTGTGCATGGTTCATGCATATTAAAACGTGAATTACTACAACCTACCAATTAATGCCTTTTATTTGTTGGCAGCTTCTTTGAGATTTTGTCGTGCATACTAGCGTGTTGGCTTCAAAAATAAAAACAATTCCGTGACGACATAAACAACAAGAAAGAATTATTAACACAGGAGACCTTATAATAAAAAGAAATAATTACATATTTATGAGCAAAATAAAGATTGTTTACAAAAATGTGACTAAAGACTATAATAGTATCGAAAGTATAATAATTTATGTTCAATTTTTAAACTTAAGTTACCATGAAACTACGAAGATGTTCTCTTTGCTTGATTTGAATGTTTCTGATCTGGATCTTTTAAGATCAGATGTGATCCGATTTGAATTATTCTGATCTGACGTGATATGATCTGAATCTTTCTGATCTAAATCTTTGTAATATGGTCTGATCTGATCTAAATCTTTCTGATCTGGTTTGAATCCTTTTGATCTGAATCTTTCTAATATGATCCGATTGAATGCTTATTATTGTTGTTGTTGTTGTCGTTGTTGTTATTATTATTATTATTGTTATTATTATTATTGTTATTGTTGTTTTTTTATTGTAAGGCGCTTCTATCATTAAAATAGCAATCGGCAGGAGTACAAGAACGTGAAAGGGCCACATGTAACCATCTTCCCATGGCCGAGACTCTGAGTTAATCACCTTAAACAAAGCAATATAACTCGCTAGACCGGATTTGGGCAAATTAAAGCTAACGACGCTTACCACAGACCTTTCAACCTCCAAACATAATGCAAGACTTTCACCGCAGGCAAAAGAGTAAAAACAAAAAATAAAAGTAAACCTGTGGAAATAAAACCTAAAGCAGAAAATAAAATAAACTCCAGCACTCGAACTCTTGATCAAAACCATCAACTGCAAAACTGGCGGGTCTAGAAGGTCTGACCCACCGCCTCCCCATTTTTTGACCCATCAAGCATCATGTCTTCGTCCCTCGTGGTTTCTTTCAGCTTGTCTTCCCATATACTCCTGCGCTTTGCCTCTCGTGGTTCCCCTTCCATATCATCCGCCCCTTGTTTTGATGCACTGGCACCCGTCTCGGCCGACTGCTCGTCTTCGAGTTCGGTCTTCCTCTGCTGTCCGGTTCCCCCGGAGCTCATAGGATCTTATATAAGCCACTTATTAGGTCTTGCTGGGCTAGTCTTCACCCCTCCTCCTGCCCTAAGCTCAACTCCAAAGGATTTTTCAATAACAATTCCCTCCTCATATCTTAGCGGGCAAAACTTATCCGAATGCCCAATCACCCCACATATGAAACAGAAACTGGGTAGTTTTTCATACTTGAAATCAACCCAATGTCTCTTTCCTTCCTTCTTCAGAGAAGTGCCCTTCTTCAGGGGCTTCCTAATATCCATACAAACTCTGATTCTAAAAAAAGATTTCCATTTAACTCCATAACTGTTTTCATCAAACTTTATAAAAGAGCCAATAAAATTCCCAATTTGCTTAGCAGAATTCAAGTTTCTAAATTTTTGAGAAACATTATGCACCTGAACCCAAAAGTCCGCCTCAAATAAATTTAGTTTTTTCAGGAATATCATCGGGCTGAACTACTTTCAAACACACTAAATCTCTCTCAGAGCATCTCCAATGCTACAATGTGCACGATGCACATGTGGCATGAGAGATATAAACACAAAATATTGATTTTATGACATTTCTCTCTCCTTCTTTCCACGGTCCTATGTGTTTTTGGTAAGTTTTTGTCTGCAATGTCAGCCATAATGTCTACATCTAGACATCGTGCTTGACATTGTGAAGAAAAACTTACCAAAATGATGTAAGATCCTTTAAATAAGGAGATAGATATTCTATTTATTGTTTTTTGATGGGTTATTTCTCATGCCACGTATGCACCGTTAACGTTTTAGCATTGAAAATGCTCTCAAACACCTGATGGATAGCCTACCCGGGGGTGTGTTATCCGAGGGGTTATTACGGAATAACCTAGAGAGAAGTCAGAGCAAGCAAGTAGGAGAGAGAGGAGATTATTATTTATGAACTCGAGATGTTCTGGATCGTTTACAAGGAGAAATGGGTTGCTATTTATAGCAGCAATAAATGCGATGAGAGTAC